CATAAATAAACATATAATTTTATTAAATATTCTTTAAACGAAGAAACACAGTCTTCAGACTCACTTCACTAGGAGTCTTATTCAGAGTTACAGAACGTGGAACAAAGACAGACACTCGATGACTCTTACGTGTATCTTCTTCCATCTTCCTCTTCTTAACTTCACGAGCACTTTCCTTATACTCCTTACGTTTCTTAATCTTCACAATATTCCTTGCTTCCTCTTGACGAGCAACTACTCTATCATGTTGAATAGAAACAAATCTGTTGTAATCACGCAAGGAATAATAAGCGTGAGGCTTCACGACTCTTGTATTCCCATTACGAGAAAAATGAAAGTATAATATTTTTATGTCAACAGTCTTCGTCTTCAACCCTTCGACGATGCTTTGAAGAACAGATATATCTCCTTCATATTTAGCAGTAAACAGCGCCCATATGCGCTTAATAATAATATCCTTCAACTTAACATAATAATATATTTGCAGGTGCTTAACAGGAAGGATAATAAACCGTAAGGAAAAAAAACCAACGTTGTATATAGTACGACAACGTCTGTTCATCTTAATCTCCATGTCACCTGCAAAATCGCGACGAGCATACAATGAACATGTGAAAGGTTTCACATAGCTTGTTCTATTCCACTTATCCTTCTTCGCCACCATATCTGCATCATTGAAAACAAAATGGCGATCATGCTGTTCTTCAACTTCTTCAATAGCTCCGATGTTCTCTGCAAACCAAGCATCGTCGGACTCCATATTGTCTTAACAAAAACATGTATCTATGTCTCATTATATAATTCAATGTAGAGTATATTTTACATATCATCACGTGATAGAACACGTGACTGGGGACACGTGGACCAATTCAATACTGGGACGTTGGGACGAGGCGGGTAATACTAGTCCGCCTCGTCCAGGGACTGTTACATCCACAATATCAAACTATAGGGGCCAATGTGCAATTAACAAAAATATAACATAAGGACTAAATTGCAAATATGATAAATCCGTACATTAATAATGGGACCCAGCATCAACCCCAAGCGCAAGGATGACGAACCCTGACGGGCTGAAGTTACGGGCCTACCGGCCCAGTAGCCTTATTG